AAAAAAAAAAAAAAAAAAAAAAAAAAAAAAAAAACGTTTGAACGGAACCCTCTATATTTCATATTATCGTACTGGTAAAGGATTTTTCAAGTTAAAAAGACAGCTTCTTTATAAAATAAGATCTATTAATTACGTTGTTATCCCAGACCTTATATTAAAACTACATTTATTCTTATTTGATGAGACAATCAATCAATCAATAATATAATTAAAAAATTACATAATTTAACATATTTCTAGTATACATTAAGATTAAATTAGATGACGAAAACTAAAAAAAAAAAAAAAAAAAGCATAATAAACCAATCCATCATGATATAGAATTCTTTTTAATTTAAAAGAAATTATAAAAATTCTAATTTTTTATAAAAAGTATGTAAATTTCTATTCTAGAGAAAATTTAATTTCTGTTTCATTATAATTTCTGTGTGGTTTAACTCTTAATAAAGGTAATGAAGATACAAATGATAATCCAGCAAAAACAACTACAATTCTAAATCCAGAATCTAAAGCTAATAAAAAGGCTTTAATTACAAATTCAGGAATAGGTCCCCCCGGTCCTGTACTAGAAGTGAATTTCTGATTTTGAAATTGTGGAGGTAAATTTTCATTCAATACATTATTAAAGACTGTGCCAGTGATTGCTACACCGAAAACTGCACCCACTTTATAAAAAAAAAAAAAAAATAACACGTAAATATTCAAAATTTTCTAATTAAAATAAAGAAAAATAAATAAATATATATATATATATAATATATATATATATACTGTATAGTATACGTACTAATTCTGAAAAATGCCAACAATGAAGTAACCACGGCAATATCTTTACGTTCAACGATTCCTTGTCCAGCTAATATAGTGATTTGCATAATTGAACCAGCACCAACACCAGCTATTATTGAATAACCAATTATTTCACCTCTAGTTGTACTTTCAGAAAACGTGCTAATTAATCCAGATCCTACTGCCATTAAAATACCTCCGAAAGCACAAATAATTCCATAAGAAAAAAATACAGTTCTTGAAACCAATTGACCTGTAACGATAGCCATAATAGCTACACCCAATATAAGAGGGAGAAGTTCTAAACCCGAAGTGGTAGCTATATGAATTTAATTAAAAGTATTTTATGAGTTATATTAATAATATTAGAGATGAAAGATTATTTATACATACCTGATTCAGATCTTACAACTTGAAAATAAAGTGGTATAAAGAATACTAGAGCAAAAAATGTCATCCCATGAAAGATATTTACACAAAAACATGCAACTACTTTAAGATTTTTAAATAAATGAACTAACAAAATAATATAACTTAATATTAGAATAATAAATAGTAAAAAAATTATACAAAGCAAAAAAAAAAAAAAAAAAAAAAAAAAAAAAAAACTTTACTAGGAGCAATAGGAGCTTTAGCAACCTTCCATTCAATATAAGCAAACACAATATATCCAACACCTCCTACACATAATAAAACTATAATAATAGGACTGCTCCATGCTAAAATTTAATAAATATTAAAAAGTCAATCATAAATAAAAAAAAAACAAAATGATATAAATAAATAAGGATAAATATTTTTAAAGATAAACAGTACGATATGTTGAGCCAGCCCAATTAAGCGGTAACAACAAGAGAATAGTAGCGGTAACTAGAGTAAAAGTACCGAACCAATCAATGCGCGTAAGTTTTAACCAAAGAGAGCCAGTGGGATTTGGAAGGTGTAAAAACAAGATAACAGTAATAAAGGTGATGACTCCAAAAGGAAGATTTATATAGAATGCCCACCTAAAAATATTAAAAATATAAATATATATTTAATATTTAATCAAATAGTAATTCAATAAATTAAGTATAAATACAAACCTCCATGTGACATGATCGGTAAAAGCACCACCTAATAATGGACCTACAACAGATGCGATGCCAAAAACTCCACCAATAATTCCTTGATATTTTCCACGTTCATGGATAGGAACTATTTCTGAAATAATAATCAACACGAGTCTAAAGAATGCGATATCTGTGATTAGATGATTTTAAGATTTTAATTCTCAAGGAAAAAAAGAAATTTTTTTTTTTACCCGAGAATACCACCTCCACTAATAAAATAGCATTATATTTATTAATTTTCAAGACACGAAATATATATATATATATAATTTATATTAGTTATAAGAATTGAAATTTTATTACTGCTTAATATATTAAATAAAAAATGATAATTTAATTACCCTAAACCTGCAACAGCACGCGATATGATTAACATGGTCTATGAAAAATTATTTGTCTAAAAAGTGAGCAAAAAAAAAGTAATCAAAAAAATATTAAAATCATTACCATATTAATGGATAGACCACATAAAAGAGAACCAATTTCGAATAAAAATATTGCCGAGAGGAAGACAGGTTTCTACATCAAAAAAAAAAAATGCAGATGTTAGTTCTTATAGAAAATTAGATAATTTTAAATAATATTTAACATAAGAATACATACTCGACCAAATATATCGGAAAGTTTACCATAAGTTGGCTGGAAAGCGGTCTATCAAAATATGCGTATTTTATAATTAATGTTAATACATTTCATAATTGATAATATAAAGTATCGTAAAATTAAATTACTGCATCTTGCTAATATATTATTATTCAAATATTTGGAGTGCGGTATACAATAATTTAAAAACGATTCTTTATTTCAATTGGATCACATGATAAGGATAACAAACCGCAGTAAGTAAATAAGCAGTTCCAACCCATGAGATTTGATCAAAAGCATTAAAGTCAATTGCAATAGCTGGTAAAGCAGTAGCAACTATAGTTTGATCTAAAGCGGCTAAAAATATAGCTAACGCAAGACTGTGCATTTAACGTTAAATAAATATGTTAACATTTATGTTAACATTTTTAATATATTATTTTGAGATAATTGTACGTAGCACATACCCAATAAAAACTAGAAAAAGTTGAGTTTTAGTTATATTAAGTTCTGGTTTTTGCCCATTCTCAACTTCAGAAACCTCCAATGCTACATTATTAATCTCAGAAGATAATTGAGGTTTATGATCTTCTTTTTCTACTACATTTGTAGTCTCTTCTTTAACTTTTTGATCATCTACTATTATATTTGTAGACTCGGAAGATAACTTTAGCTTATTTTCGTCTTGAGACATAGGTTCTTTATATTAAATTAAACGAGGTATAACAATATAATGCAGTAATAAAAACCAATAACTGCCAATAACTGCCAAGAGAAAAAAAACTTTAGAATCGACTTTTGCAGTTAAGAAAAGTGTGAAATTTAAGGTTTACGAGGTTGGTTTATAAGAAAAATTTAACCGATATGAAGTAACACCGTAACTTAACCCTTATTTGTCTACCTACAAGTTGTCTTAAAATGGTGTCGGCTAAATTAATTGCAGTTTTTGCTCTTTGGGATAATAGTTATACCGATTGTTTTTAGAGCAACGTTACGCTATAATACTGTAGTAATTAGGTTTGACCATAGAACGTGTTCTGTGAATGTATACGTATAGATTTTTAATTTTAATTTTTTTTAATTTTTTTTTTTTTTTTACTTAACAATGGTTATCCATTACTTTTTTGGAGTTACTAGGATTATTTATATGAAAATAGCAAAACTTGGTGTAAACAATTATATTATGACTCATTTAAAAAAAAAAAAATTCCTTATTCTACCTTTTGAAAATTCTTTTATGTTATAACGTACTCTGATTACATAAAAAAAAAAATTAAATTTTACTTGTACATCGCTTTTTACACGTGTAAACAATGAATAAAAAATCAAATTAAATGCTTATAACTTTCCTCTATTAAATTTCTCAATACTAAAAATCAAATCTCGAGCCAAAGAAAAACCAAATATTTCTTTTTCTTTTTTAAAAAAATTAACTAAAATTTACAATTTATATCATTTTAACATGATATACGTAGAATGATTTTTTATGGTGTTATGGGCAACCCTTACCTTACACAAATGACATTATTCTGCCGATCATGTTAATCATTTACTACATACGTACGTACGTTGAAAAGGGCAAAAATTGGTTCAGAATCGGGAACCAGACCACTAAACCTAATATTGGAAGGCGTGAAAGAAGCGTGGAAAGACTTGGTCCGAGTTATTAGGATTGGGTCAGTTTTTATGATATTGGAGGGATTAACGAATGTTGGATTGGGACTTAGTTTATACTCGTCGCTTAAATAGATAATTTTACATATGAGAGAAACAGGATTGAAATAACGAAAATAAAAGAAATAATTTAAATAAAATAGATAGTTTAAATAAAATAGATAATTTAAATAAGCTAGATAATTTAAATAAACTAGATAATTTAAATCGTAGAAATCGGAAAAAAATAATTCGAAATTGTAATTGTACTACGTCGGAAGGTAGATCTCACGAAGTGGGTCAGATTTGCCCTTTACAACGTATTGTTCGTTAATAGATATTAAAAAATATATTAATATAAGTAATACGTATTACATTGCCCATCTCTATACAGTTCATAAAGGACATACAATTTACAGAATCAAAAAATATTACTTCTTGAGATCTCTTAATAATTTGTAAATTTTATTATAAAAAAAATTAATTAGTAATCATCACTATGTAGCTTGCTAGAGGTTGGATCCTTTGAATATCCATCATGACTACTCAGCAAATATTCACGGGTTTTGATGTTCATGAATAGCATT